AAAATTTTCATACAACCATTCCCCCACTTTCCCTCTAATCCATTACCCTCCAAGGCAGCAACAGATAACAAGTTGTGACACAAATCAGGGACATGCCTCACATTCTTAAGAGTAAACACAGAGCCACAAGAAAACTTAAGACATATATCACCTACACCCAGAACATTGCATCTCTTATTATCAGCCAAGGAAACATAACCCATATCACATTTCTCATATTTAGAAAACAAGTCCCTAAAAGGAGTCATATGATAGGTGCAACCAGAATCAATTAACCATTCATGCTTAGTCAAGGTATTCCGAACAGAATTAACAAGATCACACACCATGAGAACCTCACCAAGGTCATCTCTCTCTATAGGTACACTAGCCTGCTCAGGTTTCTTGGGATGGGGACAGTCTTTAATAAAGTGTCCAGAATTGCCACAGTTGTAGCACACACGTTTTCTAGACTTATTCCTCTTCTTACCATTTTGGTTACTAGTTTTAGCTTGGGCATCCTGTTTCTGATTCTTAGACCTACTCTTAGATCTATCCCTCACAAACATAGTCTCACCAGAATCCTTGGATTGACTAGAAATACTCCTATTATGTTTAAGGTCAATCTCTTTACTCTTAAGGCCATTCACAACAATATCAAGGGTGACATCATCTCTACCATATTTAATAGCAGATTTAACATCATTATTAGAATCAGGAATAGCATTAAGCAACACAACATCAGTATAATCATCAATATGCTTATCACCAGATTGTTTAATGTTCTGGATCATATTATTTAAAACATCCAAGTTTTCATCAATGTCTTTGGTTAGGTCTAGCCTTAACCGAAAGAACTTTTCAAGCAAAAACAGTTTACCAGGCAGAGAGGTGGTAGTATAAAGATCATCTAACTTATCCCACAACTTTTTAGCAGAGTCTAAAATACCAACCTTTCTAAGCACAGAGTCAAATATGTTAAGATAAATAGTAGAGCAGGCAGTTTCATTCATTTCAGCTTTCTTAGCACTATCATCAGAATCCAAATAAAGTTCACTTACACCTCTGAAAACCTTTTGCTGGATTAAAACACATTTGATCTTTTGTTTCCAAATGTCAATATCAGTTTTCTCATTAAAAGGTAGCATACCATACATATTGGCAGACATAGCAACAGACACCAGATAGAACACAATAAGGATAATGCTGAAGATCAGTAGCAGAAGACAAGGTCAATGAAAAACAGCACACAGAGAGACAGAGAACCAAGGAGCTAGGGTTCACCAGTGTACCCGGCTGCGGGCTGACAGGCCACGCAGATCCGAAGGCCACTTAAGTGACTGGCAGGGAACTTGTCAGTCCTAACCTCAGGTGCCGAGTCACACAGGTTAAAAAATCCCAGTTCACAAGGGTAACAAGCAAGCACAAAGGACAGTAAAGGTGAGATAAACACGCAAGGGAGACAGATTACAAGTTCAAAACCTCAAGCCCGCAAACACAAAACCAGTACGAATCACAGATCTAAACATGCAGAGACAGAAAACACACATGCAAACCAAACTTCACACATAAAGGTAAAGCGTACCCACCTGGGAGTAGTCAGTTACAACTGACAGCCAGACCAACTAGGTCAGCAGCAAAAGCAAAGCGGGGAAGGGGATGAAGCGAGTAAAAAACACACAATACCGGAGGCACCCGGCTACCTAGGGTGTTTATCGCCAATTTACCTCAGCGAGAACCCGTGGATGGGCTTCTCGACTTACCACTCAAAGGAGATCTGCGACGAATGGCGGAGGAGGAGCTCTCGGGCTGTAGACGAGGACGACAGGAGGTCCGGCTCTGATACCACTGTCGGGTTTTCACCTCTCCAGCTCAGACCACGCTCAAACAGCACACAACCAAGCACCACCAGAAGGGACAGTCACACTCAGGCCAGCCCAGCCATCTCAACGCACACCATAGGTTAGGAGGGGAAGCTCAGAGAGAAAGCACCACAGAAGAATCGAAGGAGAAGAGACAGAGTCTCTCTCGTTCTCTCTCACCTCACACTCTCTCTAACCGAAGGATCTCATTCTCTCAAGTGTAAGCAGAAGAGCTTAAGTACCAAAGGGCTGCAAGGAACCCTAATAGAGGGTTCTAGAAAAGGGGCTAGCGAGAAACATACATGGGCCGGAGTCCAGAGGCAAGTAAACAGGCCCAACAAGACAAAGAGGGCTGCCATGGCTTTATGGGCCAATACCTCCACACTTCTCAATAATATACTAGCACGGATTGACATCCATGTGAATCCCAGCCTGCCCATCTCGTATAACTGACGGGGGGCGATAGTGGTTATTTTTGTTGCATTTAGGGATAACAATATAAGGGTGAATATTTTCTTCACTTTCAAAAATAGCTAGTACCTCGCTCCCTAAATAAACATTTCACTTTCTTTTTCAAACCGTCCCTTAAAAATGTTCCTTTTCTCTATTTAGTAAACAAAATGGTCAAAAATGTGTTAAATAGTGTCCAAATAGTGTCACTTTTTTAAATTGTGAAAAAGTCAAAGTAGGCATTTTAAATTAGGAAAGAGGAAGTAATATTCAAAGAGGATGTTTTTATTTGTATTGTAATTTGAGATCATCATCACCATCCCCATCACCATCAACACCACCACCACCATCACTAGCATCACCATTACCAGTACCATCACTACCACTACCACCACTACCATCACCATCACTACCATCACCACCACCATCATCACCATCACCATCACCTTCAACTTCATCATCATCATCATCACCATTATCACCATAATCATCACTACCACCACCATCATCACTAGCATGACTATCATCACCAACACCATAATCATGATCACCACCGTCATCAACATCATTACCATCATCATCGTCACCACAATCATCAACATCACCACCACCATCAACAACATCACTAGCATCACCTCACCACCACCATCATTATCACTAACATCAAAATCACCACCACCACCATTACCATCATCATCACCATCAACTTCATCACCATCACCATCACCATAGTCATCACTAGCATGACTGTCATCACCATAGCCATCAACATCAACATCACCACAATCATCAACATCATTACCATCAACATCATCACCATAATCATCAACATCATTACCATCACACATCACCACCACCACCATCAACATCATCACTAGCATCACCCTCACTATCACCATAACTAGCATCACAACCATCACCATCACCATCAACTTCATCACCATCACCATCACAGTCACCACAATCACCATCACCATAAGCATCACCACCACCACCATCACAACCATCATCAACATCATTACCATCAACATCACCACCACAATCAACATCATCACTAATACCACCCTCACCATTACCATCACTAACATTACAACCATCACCACCACCACCACCACCAACATCATCATCATCATCAACATCCTCGACATCATCATCATCACTGCCATTATCAGCATCATCATCATCGCCATCATAATCATCCTCATCACTAACATGACCACCATCATCATCACCATCAACATCATTATCGCCATCAACATCATTACATTCATACCCCCACCACCATCACCATCAACATCATCACCACCATCACCACCCATTCACCATGCCATCAACATCATCACCACCATCATCAACATCATTACCATCAACATCACCACCACCACCACCATCATTACTATTAACATCACCATCACCAGCACCATCACTAGCATCATCACCATCATGTGTTGTTATATTTGGATCTAAAATTTCAGATGAAAAGTGAGTTTCAACGAATGACCATGATCTGATATATCTGAACTTATATTTTTATTTGCCAATTTTGTTTAATTTTGGTAAATTCTTGAAAATGTCACTTTTCTATTCTGAGAATGTCAAATTTATTAGTTATTTCAAGAAAATGCCACTTTTACGGCAATATGTCTATCTCAGAAGAATGCAACTTTTCTAATATGAGAATGTCAAAAGTATTAGTTATTTGAAGAAGTTGCCACTTTTATGGCAACATGTTTATCAAGATGGCAATCTCACATTGAAAAAATGACACTACAAATATTATAATTTCAAAATGAGATTGCCATAGTTTTGCATTTTCTCATTGTTTAATTTTAGTCCCATTTGGGAAATTTACTCTTTATTTTAACCGTCATCTTGGTTGAATTTTAAGCTGAAATTTGGTGACCATAAACTAGACTTAATGAAGAACATGCTGAAAACATTTTATCAACAAATTCATGCACATGGAAGGCCCTCAAATAGACAAGTTCGGATGGGGCTTTCCGTGAGGACTACCTGACAGGATCATTACTCCTACTACGATATGTATTACTTCCATCCTAGTTGACTTTGCCCATTTCAAATTAGGTGAGAAATAAGAAAAGTAAAAGTTGTATGATAGAAGTTTATACAGAATAGAGAAAAAGAAGCAAAACCACAAACTAATTACTTTAATGGAAAAGTGACAAAACTTTTGGAACACCAAAAAACGGAGTCGACAAAGTCCAATGAGAGAGGGAGTATAAATTAATACTTCATAGATTAAAGTAAGAGAGAATTTGACTTTGCACTCCATGTTTTGGGTGATATTTGACTTTGCACCCTATTTTCAAAATCATTAATGTATGCACTCTAATTAACTATAAAATCATTTGACTTTGCACCTCACTGATTCACAATTTTTGAGCTAATGAAGTGCATGTTGGAACTAACCTTGTTGTTTAGAATTTCATTATGTTTATTTTAGTTTATTTTGAGTCATAAATGCATATTAGACTAGAGTATGAGTGCACAGCGGGATGAGTCATGTCACGTAGTGTGCATCGCGTGACACCGTACATGTATTGTAGCGGTACTGATGTGTGTATGTGTCGTTGCATTAGTGTTAGTCTATTTTGCATTTAGTGTTACGTTAAGTTAATTACGCATGCATGTATTGTGAGTATTGCGTAGTGACCTAGTGGGTTAGTTACGCATGGTGTATGTGCGTAGTGGATTGTAATCACCACTACATTGTGTTGCATCGTTTATAAATAAAAAATGGGTGAATCAAAGCTTTAAGGCTTTTGAATACTACAAAAAAGAAAGCTGAGTATTTATTTTTCCTAAGCACTAACTACATAGAGCAAAAGCTACGTACATAAGTATTTATTTTCGAAGCATTAAACTAGAGCACATACATTAATAAGGGTGCAAAATCAAATATCATCCAAAATATGTTTAATGAGGTGCAAAATATAATTTAGCTGCGGGATTGACGTACGCCAAGAGGGCTTCGCCAGACAACCTAAAGCGTTTAACATCTGCCATGATTTGGCCCCCCATTCCCCTGTAAAACTCGATGGCTTCCTCGTTCCAACCCACCACCAACCAATCGATGGTGCAGAAGCCGAGCACGGCTGCCTTGGAGGCGACGGCGGAGAAGAGCATTTTCCCAAGACCAATCCCCCGGTAACACTCCCTCACGTACAGATTCTCCATGAAGATACTTGGGCTTTGGAAGTAACCGGAATAGCTAGGATAAAAAAGAACATAACCGGCGACAACAACGCCGCCGCCGCCGTTTCCTTCTTCCTCCTGCGACAAGTACTTTTCGGATTCCCTGTCGTCCACAGATTCGACGAGATCCACCGCCTTGAGAACCGGGCAAAAAACATTATGAGAAGAGCATCCTACGAGGGGAGACCGGGATACATCGAGAAGGAGAGCCGTGGCGGAGTAGAAAGGCGGCGTGCCGGAGGGGAAGTCGTCGGAGCCGAAGAGGTTAGCGGATATTGAGGTTTCGGTGGCGGTGAACACTTGAGTGTAGTTATGGTAGGACGCCATTTGTTGCATGAGCTTGTGGAGGTGTGGCACGTCGGTTTTGGTCGGGAGCCGGACTCTGGCGTGAAAACGGCGGCTGGCACTGTGCTCCGACGGCTGCGGGGACGATTGCTTGGTTGCGTTTGAGTTGGAGCCATGCATGTCCGGCCGCCGTGGATACCTCATTAGCATGTACGGAGTTTAGGTCGAGGAAGTATATAGGTCAGCTAGATAGGGAGATAGATATAGTAGTTTCCGGTCAACTATGGAGTCAACTTTGACAGTGTATTTGTGCGATACACGTACGACGAGTGAAGTGCCTTATCCAAGTAATTAGTGCAATAATTAATTGATGGACACCATCCTGTCATCGATATCTGAGTCATCTCCCACTCATCACAGTCATCTTCCACAAATGTTAAAGTTAAATTCTGATGTGGATAATTAATTTAATTTTAATAATTAAAATTGGAGAAGTTTGTGATTTTGGTCTCGTAATTTTTGTGTTTCAATTATTAATCCTGCAAATTTAGTAAAATGCAAATTTGGTCCTATAATTATTTACCTAAATAGGAGTAAATAAAAGGATAATTGCAACAATAGGAGTTTAAAGTTTAAATTCCCAAAATAGGACTAACTCTTCCTATTCTATCCTTTCATTTGTCCTTGATAATAGGATTTTGAAACAATCATTATAAAATATAATAAAAATAAAAAAATCGAAAAAAATAGTTAAAAAATATGTAGACCTCAACTACCACCTCAGCCACCTTCCAGCACCGCCACCTCCAGTCTCCGGAAAAGATTGCCAAGTTGGGGAAAAAATGTCATCATGATGACAATTTTGAAGAGAAAGCAAGAGAAAGCTGGATATTTTCAAAGAGTAAAAATGCCATATATATGGCATTTTCAGAGAAATGTGACATTTTTTACACAAGATGGCATTTTTTCCCGGCGACCGGAGTCGGTGGTGCTGGGAGGTAGAGGGCGCGTTGGCAGTGACACACATATTTTTTAAATTTTTTTTAGGGATTTTATTTTATTTTTTGGACTTTTTTAAAAAAATTTAAATAATTTATTTATTATTTATTATTTTTTTATTTTTTATTTTATTTTTTCACGTTTTCATAATTATTTTATAAATATTTTATTATATTTTATATTTTTTATAAATAAAACTATGATTTTTTTATTAATAAAATAAATCTATTGGAAATTATAGGAAGGGGGTAGAATGAGAAGAAAAGATATATATTAGTCCTATTTTGAGAATAAAAGGATTGTACTCCTAATGTTGAATTCTGGGCTTATTTTACTCCTACTTAGGGCTAATACCCGTTAATAATTGTATCAATTTAAGGATCTTTTCTCAGAAAGTACATTTTTTGGCAAAAAATATATATTCCATCCGTCCCATTTTAGTTAGCCAGACAATATTTTTCCAGTCGATGGTGTCTAACTTTGAGCGGTTATATATTTATATACATAAGTATTGATAATATAAAAAATATAAAAATATTCTTCGTCCAAAAAACTATTATAAAAGTACAAATTATTAAATTTTACACAAGTATATTAGTTAAAATAATTGGTCAAAGTTAATCATATTTGACTAGAAAAGTCAAAGATGACTAACTAAATTGGGATGAAAGGAGTAACTGATATTAAAAGATGGCGTCAGCGTTGGATTTTCGGCCGAAAAGTGTTCAATTATTCCCGAGCGAGGAAGTTGCAGGACTAATAACGGTCATAGCCGAAAATTACAAGCCTAAAATTGCAAATCTTCTTTAAAACTTACATATTCATAAACTACATTAAAATATCTATCAAGTTGTAAAAACCAAATATATATTTAAGTAATACTTAATATCCTAATTAAGTGAGAGGTTAAAATTAATATGTTTAATCCAGCAAAGTCAATTTTACAACTCAATTTGAGACGTAGGGAGTATATTTACAAGGTCCGTTAAATTTTTTGTCTTAAATAATAATGAATTTGAGTTGCAATGTAAATTAGTAAGCCATACATGAATGGTTTGAGAGGGCCGGGTATTGCAAAAAACACACTTGATGTTTGACTTTAATGAGGGAAATTAATGCAGAAAACTTAAAGTTAGTTAACTTGTTCCCTATATACACAAAAAAAAATACAAGTACCTTTTATAAGTATAAATCAGGGGTACTAGTATGAAAACATCCTTGCATAAAGGAAATCCAATTAGAAGCAAATGTAAATAGATATTCTCTGTGTTTCATATTGTAAGATACACTTTCTTTTTTAAATTGTCTAAGAATCTAAGTATTTTCTTAAACTAGACTCCACTAACTTTTTACTTTACCACTTTATCCATTTATCTATCTTTTCACATTTTACTTTTAGTTGGCCAATTTTTCCTTTTCTTACCTTTTGGATGTTAGAATTGTAAAACAATCACTTTATTCTTTATTTTCTTGAAACTCGCACCAAACTCATATACATCATATAATACATCAATTAGACGGAGGTAGTAATTGATAATTGTTGGAAAAGTGTGTTAAAAGTGTATTAAATGGTCATTTTGGGGCAATTATTTGAGTGGGATCAACTTCCGATTTGGGTCGGGTCAAAGTGGCTTCGGATTATCCTTGCTAAGGGCTACAATTCGATATATGGTACACTCAAAACGGATAACGGGTGAATGAGAAATTGTTTTTCGAAGTTTACCCGTTGGAATGGAGAAAACTAGGAAAATGTGGGTTTTAGTGTGGGTTCTTTCCCACACCGAAAATCACAAGGGAATTTGAACCCTTTATAAAGGGAAACCCCCCCTAAGGAGTTAAGATTCCTAAAGGGAAAGGCTCTCTCATGTGCGCAGGGGGGTGCAAATCAAATCCCGAAACCGAAGAACAAAAACCGCGACTTGTGTGTGCGGGCGACCTGCACACACGATTGTCGTCCGAAAATCTATCTTCTAAAGATAACTTTAAAAGGCTAGTAGGTGCTTTGCAAAGACACCTTTCATACACTTCGTTCACGTATTTTCATAGCTAAAACAGCACCTCTAGCACTCCATACAAACTCTAGCACCTTCTTATACATATCAGTACATTTCGTGTCTGTCAGAGTTTTTTTTCCAGTGAATCCCAGTTCACATCAAAAACTGACTTGTTATGTCTGTGAAAAAATCTACAGACAAAACAAGCCAGTTTTTGTTTGAGGTTTGGGATTCACAGACAAAAAAAACTCTCACAGACACGAAATGTACTGATATGTATAAGAAGGTGTACACAAAAAATTGTTGATTTTCAAATAGGCTCTTTCACTTTGGCAGGAAACCATTTAATTACTTACTTTTTATTTTTTATTAGAACAATTAGAACAATATAACCGTGACACAAAAATAAAATACAATTACTTATATTCGTCGACTAGCTTTAAGTTTAAGATGCACTTTCTTTTATTATACTCCTATATGCTTTTGTGATAGTCAGTAATAATAATTCATGAAATAAGTGAATGATATCAATTTCATGTAGCATTGACTCTAGTAGTCAAGTCGTTATCAAAATGGTACTAATTCCACATTATTACAATAGTCGTTACTGCGTGTCTATCATTGTGTTAGAGAATATGCCCACTTTCTTTTTTCATCCTCCTAGCTAGTTAAATGAAGGGTTTCAATTTTTTAGGTCCCAATTCCCTAATCAAATTTGAAGATATATTAGTAGTTGCGATTTCTTTGTATATATGAACATCTATGCATGTTTGTTTTGTATATACAAAAAAAGTCAACTAAAATAATGATAAAGTTGGAGTATCATTGTTATTTTCAAGACAAGACTCATTCACTTTTATTTGGAAAAATTTTTCTCAACTTAGAGCTGTTTGGTAGCACGAGGATTGGCTGATTTGGCTGATTCTGCTGAAATTTATGAATTTCTGGCTGAAGTGGCTGCATTGGTTGATTATGCTGATTTAAGAAAAAATAATTTTAAAATATATTTTATTAATAAAATAAAGAAAAAATTATATGTACAAATAGCAAAAATGGTCATCTACAGTGACTTCAGCCAATACAGCCAAAAAAGTAACTCCAACTTTACTTTTTTCGCTTATTACACAATTCAACGCGTGAAAGCAAAAGTTATGTGTTTGGTGAAAAAATTGGTTGATAAGTCTGATAAGCCGAAAAACATTGTTGCCAAACGGCCTCTTAATATTTTTAATATGACTAAATGAGTTTGATTTGAAAAATAAAATATGTACTCCCTCCGGTCCCAAAAGAACGTCATGGTTTGACTTCACGTTTTTTAAGAAAGTGGATTTTTTTGTTTTAACTTTCCCATTATGCTCCTCAAAAAGTAGATAAAGTGTAGTGAGAGAGAAAATGGATGTAAAGTAGGGGTGGGCAAAAGACCCGGTCCCGTTGGTCCGTTCCGGAACGTTCCGGTTCCGTTCCGAAATTGTCCCGTTAAATTCGGTACAAACTATTTTTGTCCCGTTCCGATCCTGAACCGTTTCAAAACAAAACGGGACCGGGACAAATAAAATATGTCCCGTTCTGTCCCGTTGTCCCGAATTCAAAATTGTACGGAGTATACAGTAGTGGGTTAGTGAGTCTACCATCAATTCTACATACTAAAAAGAAACTCACCTATGCTTCACATGTTTCACTTCTAATAATATTGTTTGTCTTTTTATTTATTTTTGTAGTTTCTTAGTAGTATTGTGTGTGTTGGAGTTAATTGTTGTTGTTACGGTTTGTTTCGTGCAACTATCATATTAATCTACTATTTTTTGTGTTGCATTTATCGTAAATTTTTGTATGTGTTGCATTTTTAGTGTTGTAGTTTTTGTCACGGAGTTTCTTTTTGGAGCTGCATTGTTTTCGCTGCAATTTTTTTTGGGATGTCCCGAACCATCCCGTTCTTTTCCGGTACCGGTCTAAAAGGGACAACAGCGGGACAACATCTTGTCCCGTCCCGTTCTGTCCCGTTATCCTAAACCGGATTCGAGACCGGGATAGTCTAATTCCCGTCTTCTATTTTTTGTACTAATTAAGTCTTCTTTTTGTACTTTAAATATCTTTGGTCCTATATTGAGGAATTTCTATTATAGGTACAACTCATCAAGTGTGTATCTTATAGGCCTAGTCTAGTACTTCTCTGCCCATTATTTTGTTGCTCACTTGTTTTTCACAATTTCAATTTACGCAATTAGTTACTTCCTTCATCCCTAAATCAATGTTTTAGTTTGACTTCACATGTATTAAGACAATGCATGCTACTATAGTCAGGGTCGGCTCTGGGCCTGTCTGTCCAGCTCAATCGCACAGGGCCCGGTATTTTGGAGGGCCCAAAAAAAAATTAGTATTACCCAGCCCAGAAATTTTGTTTTTAGCCCAAATCAATTCCCCAGCCCTCAAAATCCTCAAATCCCGTCTTCGGTCTTCCCCTGCTCTCTTCCGACTTCCGGCCCTGGTCCTGTCTTCGCGTCTTCACGACAAAGGCCAAAGGGAGTCAAGCCGTCAAGGGACACCGCCGGTCCGCCACGCCGCCGCGCCACTCGGCCCAGTTCGCCAGACCGCCGTCAACACCGGCAAAGGGACACCGCTCGGCAGTCGGCTGCTCTCCAGTCTCCACGAGGAGTCGAGGACCACGACTCGACTTCAACTGCGCGCAGTCCGACACGGCTCCGCCGCCCTCCGGCCTCCCTCAGACGCCGTCCTTCCGGTCAGTTACTAATTTGCTAATTCTTTTATAATTTTTATTCATGTAGTTGCTAATTTGCTAATTCTTGTGAAATTTCAATTTATTGAATATTTGAATTGATGAATTGTTTGTTGAAATCTTGTAATTTGTTTATTTTCAGATTTAATGTTTGTTGAATTGTTGTGTTGTTGTTATTTGTTGATTTTTTGCATTTAAAGTAAATCATGCTTTCACCCTAATTTTAAACTTAATATTAATTTAAAATTTATAAACATGTACAGGATTATAGGAGAATTTCAATAATTGGTAATAATTATGTTTCCATATAAATACCAATCCGGTCATGAAAAGCGTCAAAGGAAAAGAAGACTTGAGGAGTTAACCCAATCTCAAAAAGGAGCTCTTGATAAGTTTATTATTAAAGAAGTTAGAGATGTTCAAGAGGGTGAACAACAAGAAGTGAATGTTGAAAATAATGTTGAAATATCTGATCAATGTGTTAACGAAATGGCTGAGAATTCTGATAAAGAGGACCACAGAATTGATGTTTTAGATGATAGGCCAAATAATTCTGCTTTATTTGACATATATGATCCAAGAAACTGGGATGCTCTAGATTCAAAGTTGACAGACACTTTGGTAGAGAATGGTCCTAAAAGAGATTTAAATTTTGTGGAAGGGCCTAAAGATAAATTCTCTAGAAGATTCTCATCGGCTTTTTACACTAGAAGTTTGCCTAATGGAGACAAATGTGATAGAGAGTGGCTTGTTTATTCAAAGGAGCTTGATAGGGTATTTTGCTTCTGTTGTAAGATTTTTAGAAAATGTGTAGGCAAAGGTTCTTTAGCTAACACGGGTTTTGATGATTGGGGACATCTTAGTGCTAGACTGAGAGAACATGAAACAGGTATGGAGCATATGAGTAACATGAGGAGTTGGGTAGAGTTCAGGCTTCGATTACAAAAAAATGGTCTAAAAAATGATCTTGAAAAAAGGCCCAAATTTTATTGTTGCACAGGGCCTCCGTATTCTCGGGACCGACCCTGACTATATAGTACCCTGTTTGTCTCTTTTTTGCATTGTTTGACACACACATAATGAAGGGGGAGGAAGTCCGACTTTAATACTCCGAAAATACGTAGTAATACGCAGCACATGCATGAATGGGACTTTAAATCGGTCAACCGTTCCACTGAAGTCAATGAACGGTTTACCTTCACGATACTAATTTGTACACTAATTTTCGTTCAAATATAAAATGGACGGTTCCTATTGGTTTTCCAATCATCAAAACTTTTTTTTGGCTAGGAATATTCCGATTTTCGTATCAAATTCTCCATTGTACACCTTTTTTAAATCTCTAAAAATATATTGATATTTTATGATTTGACCCCACCAAGTAAAAATATAATGGGGTGTTTGGTAAACGACGTTTCAGCTGAAAAATGACGATTTGACCACTTTTAGCGTTTTCCATAAGTGAAAAAGCTGTTTGGTTAATAGCAGTTCAGCACCAGCGTTTTTGGACGGAAACGTTGAAATGAAAACATCATCAATAGAAGAGTTTTAGGTTGATGTTTTAAAAAATGATGTTTCTACTAATTTTATGACCAAACAGCTAAATTATCAAACATCTTTTGACGTACAACCCGTCAATTTATTCCACTAGACAGATTCGTTTACCGAATCCGCTATTGATAATCGGCTAACATAACCCGTTATCTGTCAACCGCTAACGGATGAATAATGCCAAACACGCTCAATATTCAACCTCATAATAATACACTTTGAAAGTTCTTTACTAATTCGTAAGTGGTATGAGCGATGAACCGGTCTAAGAGTATTTAAATTCCACATGCATTATAAGAACTCCATAAAAAACCAATGAAATTATAGAAAAATATCTCAGGCATGACCAAATCTTTGTATCTTTAATTTGTGTGTTTTCTATGTTCCAAAAGATGGAATCTCCCACCCCAGGAGCCCCCCACACCTCGACCCGCCGGCAGGATTTTTGGGAGGATGTTAGCTAGTCACGGTGACTCAGTCGCCCCAATGATGGTAGACCTTATACCCATGCGCACCAGAGATCCAGCCCAGCATGCAGGAGATGTAACCTACACACGGCTGCTGCGGGTTTCGAACCTTGGTCAATGTTCCAAATTTCCTACCACAAAACCAACTGAGCTACCCGTGCGTGTTATTTGTGTGTTTTCTAAAATACCAAGTACTACCTCCGTCTCTTAAAACTTTGCCAAAGTTGACCGGCACGGAGAATAATAAAGTAAAAACTGTGTGGTTGAGATTTGTGCAGAGGAGAGAGAAATGCCAGAAACCACAAAATAATTGATTAAAAGGGAAAGTGACAAAGTTTTTTGGGACGTCCCAAAAAGGAAAGATTGCAAAGTTTTAATGGACGGAGGGAGCATGACTTATGTCTATTTTTGTATCTTTGTGTGTTTTCTGAAATATATATGACTTATGTCTTTTTTTCTCAATATGATGCCACATATGATATCATGTATTCATACTATCCGGACTTCTCTGTTTCTTATTCATATCGTATGTGCCTAATCATATACTATCGTACTTCGTATTACAAAGTAATTGACATGAGTTTTACTCCCATAGAAGCATTTTTTGCGTGAAATAAAACGCAGCACATGCATGAAAGGTCAAACCCCAAGACTCTAGAGCTAGCTAACTTTAGAATGGGAGTTTAACAGAGATTCTATTTTATTGAATGGGGCGGGGTTGACACTTACAAATGGTGGGAAGAGAACAAGCCATAATAGTCAACCTAGCTAGGGAGACGATGATGGATCAGGGATGTGATTCTTTAGAAAAAACAATTATTATTCAATAATGTGAAGAACAATAACCCGACATAATTAAGGAAAATTCCTTTTGTACGCTGCACTTTGTACACGCGACCAGTGTTTTATAAATATGCGATTAAGGAAAAACAATTATTATTCAATAATGATTATTAATAAACCTGACCAGTGTTTTATGAAGAAAACAAATTTTCATTTGTCTGTGTACAAATAATTGTCTGTATACAGACAATTTAAATTGTTTGTATATAGACAATTTAAATTGTTTGTGACACATACAAATAATTGTCTTTATCAAAATTGGTTTTTTTCATAAAAAACCGATCAAATAGTCTGTACACAGATAATTGATCGGTGTATAAACTGGCGTGTACACGAAGCGGGACTCCATAATTAATACTCATATCTCTATAAAAGACGTGTGACATACCATAAGAAAACTCGGTGATATATTGAACAGGTAATGACATTTTTGTCGTTCCAATTTTATTTCCTTTTAATCAAATTTTTATCCATATACAAAAGTGGTCATTTTTTTTTACTTTAACTTTGATATGATACACTTCGTAGTATAGTGTTCAAATAAAAAATAATAATTCCAAAAAAAAAAACACTTTTGAAAGTTTTATTAATATCAATTATGTACATAGTAATAATTAATTTATTACGGAGTATTACTTGACTTTTATAAATATGCGATTATAAATAATTATAGTTCGAGATTAACTTATACTCAGTAGAATACGAGGTCGTTTGGTAACAATGTTTTTTGGCTTATCAGGCTTATCAGTCAATAATTTCACCAAACACGTTACTTTTGTTTTCATGAGCTAAATTGTTTAAAAATAAGAAAAAGTAAGGCTGGAGTCACTATAGATGATCATTTTAACTATTTTTACATATAATTTTTTATTTAGTTTATTAATAAAATAAGATAGTATATTTTAAAAATATTTTTTTCTTAAATCAGCAGAATCAGCCAATGCAGCCACTTCAGACAGAACTTCATAAATTTCAGCAGAATCAACCAAATGACCCGATTTTCGTTACCAAAACGTCTCTACAATATGAGTTAATTGATAACGTCTAAAATACCCGCACGGGTAGCTCAGTTGGTCGAGTGGTGGGAGATTTGGAACAATGGACCAAGGTTGGAATCCCCGCAGCGACCGGGTGGAGGTCACAGAACCTGAAATAAGACTGAGCCTCTGGTGCGCACGGGTGTATGAGCCTACTGCCATTCTGCTGACTGAGTCACCGTGACTAACCTCCCCATCATCCTGTGTGGAAGATTCCACCTACCTACATGTGGGAGAATCTTTCTCAATCTCATCCATCATTTCCTCTATTTATTCAGCTACCTACACATTTACACATGCACATTATACGATCATCACACTCCATACACGACTCATATAATGAGATTTCAAGAAATTGACAACACCAGACTCACTCTCAGCCTAGCATCCAGTGATGATGACGATATCCATGCACATGGTCTTCATCATCGTCAAGAAAATAAGAGATCAAAGCCTAATTCCCAGATGATATGGCATAGCTATCTCCCATCTCGTTTCCTTGGATCACTTCCTATGGAACTGCAGCTTGGATATGGCAAGGATAACAACAATCGAAGCTCCGATGTGATGATGAACAGTCAGGCTTCTCCGACAGGGCCATCTCTTTTCCGCTTTCGTTCAAAGCGGGAAAAAGACGAAGTCAAAATGGAGCGGCAGGAGAAGCCTGACTCATCAAGGGATGAGTACATAGTGTTGCAAGATGAAGAGTTTGGTACCAGGAAGAAACTTAAGTTGACCAAGGACCAGTCAGTCGTTCTAGAAGACAGCTTCAAAGAACACACCACTCTCAATTCTGTATTTCATCATCTTTTCATCCTCAATGATTTTCTCGTGTTATTTTATACGAAGTATTTTGATTTCCTTATGTTATTAAACAGAGAGAATTCCCTAAATAAGACTAAAAGAAGGTGGAATTGGAAAAACAAGACATATTGTTTTAAATTCTCTAAATAAGATTAATTATTTGTATTTGGACAAAAATAGTCTTCATTAGTGACTTAATGCAACACATGACTCTTGCGATGAATGTCACTAGCGACGCACCTCTGCTACATGCCCAGGTAAGTTTGTTCTTCTTCATATTTTTCTTCTGCTTCTCTATTAACTTCTTCTCAAGCTCTCATGTTTTCTTCTTCTACAAATTTTCTATTTTCTTCTTCTTTTGGATTTCCATTTTTTGATTAATCTGATTAAATTATTTTTAAAAGATTCATATTGTTGTTCTCGTCACTGCAATCTGAAAAATGTCATAATTGATGTTTAATCCAACACTGTTTTATAATAATGTCACTTTTATGACATTACATTTGCCAAGATGGCAGTTCAAAAAAGAGAATGACATCTCATGACATTTTCGAAAGAGTAATAATGTCATTCTAATGACATTTCGAAACAAAAATGATATATTTAAAGTGTCAATTTTTGAGTAACAATGTCAGTTTCATTTCATACTGTCATCTTGATAAATGTAATGTCATAAAAGTGACATTTTTCTAATTGCTTGTAATTTTTGGCATTCTGAGATTCAAAATTAATCAAAATTAATAAACAAATAAATAATTGAAATGTAAAGAAGAAGAAAACGGAAGAGGAGGAGGAGGAGAAGAAGGAGGAGGCTTGGACGTCTTCATTGCAAATTGCTATTGGTCTTCATCACAGATGACCTGGGCGTCTTCATCGCAAATTGTTGTTCATCGCAGATGGCCTGATCATCTGCATCTTATCACGGTTGGAGTCGATAGCCATTTGGGGTTTTATTAAATTAAGGGTAAAAAAATAATTGAAGTCCTATTTAGGGAATAATAAACTTAATATTCTATTGTGGAATTTTAACCATGTTTTAGTCATCATATTTAGGACAATTTCTTTATTAAATACTACATATATCTTGTATACTTCGTATTTTTTACAATCAAATCCCTAATCATTAATTCAATAGTTTTCTTTATTTTATTAATAAAATATATTTTAAATATAATTTTTTCCCATGAATTAGCAGAATCGGCCAATTTCAGTCAGAACTTCATAAATTTCAGCAGAATCAGTCAATTCAACCGATTTTGAGATTACCAAAAGGGCTCTTAGTTTATATTTTTTGCAACGAAATCCCTAATAATTAATTAAATATTTTGTGTAACATACTTCCTGATCGACTTTCCTTATCAATTTCCTAGAAACAAAAGCATGACTTGGCGAGGAGGTTGTATCTGCGTCCACGACAAGTCGAAGTCTGGTTCCAGAATCGAAGAGCCAGGTAATATTCCTAATCAAAATCGATCAAAATGTCACCTTTTTAACTTGGTAAAACATGTTACAATTTAATATTAGGATTGTTGGATTTAATTATAAAGAAATTGTTCTAAATAGGATTAAAATATAGACAAAATATATAAATCAAATTAAAATGCATTCATACTAGTATTCTGATTTATATTATGTATAGATACTCCCATTCAATTTTATGACATACTTCTTCTGATTCTAAATAAACTTCACATTTCTCTTTTTGGGTAGGTCCAAAATAAACTTCACACATAGTCCCTTCTTTATTTGGCAAATTATCTACATCAAAACAGTGTTAAACAGTGTCAAACAGTGTCAAAACAGTGTACTCTACAGTAAAGTCAAATTTATTTGCTTAATTTATGTGAAGTAAAATTGTGAAATTTATTTAGGACCAGAAGAAATATAAAATATTGATTAGATATCAAACTTGTGGTATTCATATCAAATGTCAAAGTGTGAGACATACGGAATGCGCTTCGGCCACATAGGTAGAGCCCAAATAGCCCAGTTTGAATTAATATGATACGGAGTAATTCTTTGTATGCATTTGGCACTGGGCCTTGGCACCAATCGAGACTTAAACAGACCAGAACAGACCAGACTTAAACAGATCATATCAGACCACACAAGACTTAAACAGATCAGACTTAACTTCCATAGTTATAAAATACACAGAGACCAGACGTTTACCAGACCATATCAGACTTAAACAGACCAGACCAGCAAATTACAGTCCAAGTAAAAACATCCTTAGTTTAAATTGATTTCTTCCAAACCGTTTTAAATTGAACCAAATCAAAATGCAGAAAAATTGAATAAAACCGAACCTAGCTAAAAACATTAATAAAATCTTAATATATTCTTGTGTGAAAATGGTTGGTTTGTGTGAATAGATTAAGAGCCCATTTGATAACACGAAAATCGGCTTATTCGGCCGATTGTGCTGAAATTTATGAAGTTTTGGCTGAAATGGCTGCATTGGCTGATTATGCCGATTTAAGAAAAAATTATTTTTATAAGATATTTTATTAATAAAATAAAGAAAAAATTGGATGTAAAAATAGCTAAAATGGTCATCTACAATAACTTCAACCAATACGGCCAGAAAAGTAACTCCAGCCCTATTTTTTCTTATTATTACACAATTCATCCCCTGAAAACAAAAGTTACGTGTTTTGTAAAAAAGTTGGCTAATAAGCCTGATAAGCTGAAAAACAGTGTTACGAAACGGCCTCTAAATCATTCCAACGCAAAGTTGTGGTTTGTGATTTAGCTTATTTCTCTTTCGTTTGCACAAATGTAAACTAGACACTTTTACTTCTCTTATTTCACCCCAATGAAAAATTGAAGATGTTCAATGGGATGGATGTAATAATAAATATGAATAACATATAGGATAGGGTATTGTACATATCGTGCATTTGATCAGTGCAAGTTAGTATTTAATAACGTATTCAAATTTACATTATTCAATTTCAAAATTTTAATTTGTTCGTGTGGACAATGTACGGTACCTTGAGAGTTCCATCAAATTTGATTTGAGTTCCATCCCTCCGCCCCGTGATAAAAAATAATATACTACGTACATTGTAATGATGTAAATTCTGTTTCACTCTAGGTGAAAGTTTGGCCCTAAGCATCAAAAAATATAAACTTAACTATAATAACTTTAAAATTGAATAACATATATTGTAATGATGACTAAAGTAAATTTGAATATGTAACGACCAAAACTTATAAAGTTTAACCCAAAATGAAGTTGAATCTTACAGGATGAAAATAAAAGAAACGGAAGAAGGCCATGAGCTACTAAGAAACTGCTTTGAAGCACTTTCTAATGAGAACAAAAGGTTGGAAAGGGAGGTGCAAGAGCTCAAAACATCAGCACGCGACCAAACAACGCTGCCACCACCATTTTATAAGATGGCCATGCCCGTCGTTACTATGTGCTCTTTTTGTGAGAGGTCTTATGGAGGAGATTCTATTGCATACAACTCGACGCAATCTTCTCCTTGCATGTACAGCTCTTCATTGCATCAATCAGCTGTTTGCGAAACAGGAAAGAAAAGTAGCAATAGTAATAGTAGTAGTAGTTCAGATACTCCGTTATCCTTGACCCATAATTAATTCAGAAAACGTAAACATGTAGATTAATACAGGGAAAAATTACCCAAAATAGGACCAAATGACACTTGGAATTCCAAAAATAGGACTAGTATGTTTTTCTTCTCATAATAGGAGTTATTACTGTGATGTATGAAAAATACTACCATGATTGAAAAATACTATCATTAATTATAATAAATATTGTCATGTTAAATGTAATGTACTGCAACTAGTTGGTAGTCACGACTACAAGATGACAGTAAATACTGTCATATTAGTCCCATTTTGGAAATAAAATGAAGTAGTCCCATTTTGGAATTTCAAACTTCATTTACTTCTATTTTGGGAAATCTTCCATTAATATACACTATGATTAATACATTTACTATTGGGTATACAAACTGAAATACAATACTAGAACTCTAGAAGACTTTTGAAGACTTCTATTACTCAGAATGGCATGGTTAAGTAGGTAAGATAGCTGATAGCAACTCCAATTCCTATAAACCAGCAAACAATACTAGAACTCTAGAAGTGGATAATAATAAACATAGCCACCAACTTAGACCACTTCACCTAATAGAATGGAAATACAAATTCAACCAAGTAAAGAAAAATCTGCATGGGAAATCATGCCATAAAAATAGGAACTCAGTAGTAAACCACTAAATTTGAAGCATATCAGTTAACACTCTCCCAGTCTCCCTTGCTTCAAATTTAGCAACTCCAATCTGCAAACTGAAGAAATGATGTATAGCCTGTGATAATGACTACGTAAGAACATCGGCAACCTGCTCATTAGTGTTACAATACTTCAGGACTAGTTCGCCAGCAACCAGGTTCCGAATAAAGTGATAGCGAATGTCTATGTCCTACCGTGAAAATCTATATGCACACTAGTTAAAATAGAACCATCAATCTCAGCCATATACATAATTGCATTACTACATGAATGCCGGTTACAATTAATCATAAATAATTAAAAACACCCGGTCATAATCTCCTTCACACTCCACACTCCTTAGGGTGTAGTGTAAAGGTAACTATTTCATGTCATTCCCAAATAAGCCTTCATGTCCCTACTAAATCATCACAAGTCTTTACAGCACGTTAGTTCCGACTTTGATGTTAACTATTATGGACCCATACGATAGGCACTGTCTCCCATGTAGTGACTGTCCATATAAAGAACTGCATTTTGAGGATGCAGCCCATCCATCACCATAAACTGCATATCTTCAGATGGCTTCCAATGTCGCTTCCTTTGATTGATGAACCAGTTGTTTATTTGCTTTTGATCCAAACCTGTTGATTCGGCCAGCGCCACCTTTTCCGTTTCCTGTGGAAACAATTAACAAACCAAAAATAGTTTAGTCACTTCAAATTATTTATCATATAGACTTGCAAATCTTTAAAAAAACTGTTTCTACTGCTCTGTACCCTAACATGTTGTATCCAAGTACCCTAGATATGTGGAAATAATACTTGATCATGGTACTGCTTGAAATTCGACCTAAATTTTTTGATAAAACAGTCTGAACTCCATGTACAACCTCAAATAGAAAATAAACATGTAGCTCATCAAGTGATAAGAACTACACGTACTCGTGATGACCTCATCAACTTGGTAAAACAATACATGAAATATTACACATGACTATATCTCAAATTTACATGAAGTTAGAGTAATCAAGTAAAAAATTATTGTCCTGAGTTTCAAAAACGGCACTACTCCGTAACAGTTTAATGTACATATGAGTAAAAAATGTATAAATAACTCAATATCATTACCTATGCTAACATTTATACATTTGTTGTTTTCTCTTTGTAGTGGAAAATGAAGAAAGAGGGGGGATTCATTATGGAAAGAGCATACCGAAGGATAAGGCCATTTGTAGTGCAACTCCCACCAACTAAGCAACTTTTGACGCGCTTCTTTGGGGAGTTTCCCTTTCTTCTTTTTCTTTGAGAGTTCTTGCTTCAAACTGCTTAGATAGCCACTATACTTCCTCAACAAGTGGTTCTTCAGCTCTCGATCTTCAGCCCGAGGATCAATTTCAGTTAGTTCAGTTTCACCCGCGCTGTGGTTGTCTTGGTCCTCTTCTGATGAACCAACACCCTCACATTTTTCATCTGATGTCGTCATATGTATTCAATCAATAAATATCAGAATTGAAACACTGTTGCCTAATCCTTGTAAGCTGTAAGCTCGTGTAATTCAGGGTAAAACATGATATGCAATAGGCAAAAATAGATGTTCAACAAAGTAATCAATAGTCCATTTGACCATGTAAATTAACAAGTACAAAACCATATAGCTCAGTATTGTGGAAAACAAATATAAAATCCTATAGCTCAATATTATGTCTCCATCTTGGAGATTTCACTTTATTTATGAGGCCTTGTATGTGTGCCATTCATGTTAAAGAATAAGAAATTTCTAAATAGTAGTGTAAAATATAAGCGGTTTGCATATATTTAGTATAAGAGTACATTTGTTCAATCCAAAAATAATGGCTTATTCCATACTAATAAAAGAATAAGAGTAGTTATTCACAAACATTGTCCTTTGGTGCTATAAGAGTACATTTGTTCTTTAGGGAACAAATGAGTCAAATTAAGTCATTTATAGCAAAGAATAGATCAAAGTTTAAGTCCTGTTTGGGAAACAGTTTGTATTTTAGTGCTATTTCACAAACATTGTCCGAAAAAATAGATATCACTCTGAATGCAACTCTATGGCATTTTTTCAACACCAAATATTTAAGTAGACCAGTGCATAGTTCATATTCGCGTTGAAAATTAAATTAAATTTTAATCTGCAATGTGTGCTATATAACTCCTTGTTTTGTTAAAAAAAAAGAGAAATAGAGGGTAAGAAAAATGGGGAGAGGGAACGTTTGAAATTGAATAGTGTGAAGAACCACTCAAATGTTGGAATCATTCTCTAGCCATGTACATGTTTATTTACTTAAAACACCAATATTGTTGACCAACTTTCCATCATTTGCCATGGAGCCAAAGATTCACTATTTTTTGGCTTGAGAATATGATAGAATAAAGCAAAATAGCTCACTAAACTGTCTGCACTTCTTTGTTATGAAGCAGCAACCAGTCTATGCAATTTTGGACGCGATTTTCACTATGGGTCATTCGGAAACAGTCCTTATGTGCTTTAGTACATGGATAAGACTAGGATAAGACTGCGTACATCTGACCCCCTGTCCTATCGTAGGTGGGACCCTTTGCGGCACTGGGGTAATGATAATGATGATGTAATGATGATGACCAATATGGTTGACCAAAGCCGAAGCAGAACAAATTGAATCTCATTTTAATATTGTGAACCACCAATGTTCTCTCTTAATTGGGAGTGCCCAATAATCAGTGTTCCTCCACTAGTGCCAAATACAACCCCATAGTCACCGTCATAAATAAAAAATGATCATCAGTCTCATCTGCTTAGTTATGAGATGAAGTCATGATATATAGATTCTATAATTTGTTGTAACAAATATAAAAATGCGAGGAAAATAGATTTTGGAGTGTAATGAACGCAACTTGAATGAGATCTCACTCAAGTTGTGTGCAGTACACTATAAAAGTGAAGCGAATGGACAACAAAAGCAATGGTACTTTGATTTGTAATGGTAATACAGAACTAATTGAATAGTTTCATTATAAATTAGAAGGAAAGCTCAAACTTAATGTTAATGGAAAGAAAGTGGCAGAAGAGTACTTTCAGTGGTCAAAGTTTGATTTAGTGGTCAAACTAATCATGAGATTGTTTTCATTGAAACAAAGATTCTAAAGTAGATATGACTTGGTAAAGACCAACAAATTATCTGAAATAATTCTATAATAATTTAAAGCAAAAAAACTTAAACCCAAAATTTACCTCAACGTGTATAGCTTTTTAGAAAATATAATCCCAATTTAAGATTCCAATTTTAAGACATGATCAATTTTATTTGGTTCTCTTCAAGTATGATTAATTTTCTCTGTTTCTAGAGAGTTACATCTCTGTTTTACACTAACTAAGAACGTTGACTAAAACCATTTCAACTTATCATAACCTTATAGGCTTATATAATACATATCTCTCTAAGGCAATAATAATAAGCTCATTTAGAGCCCGTTTGGTAACACTAAAATTGGCTGAATTGGCTTATTCTGCTGAAATTTATGAAGTTCTGGCTGAAGTGGCTGTATTGGCTGATTCTACTGATTCATGAAAAAATTATATTTAAAATATTTGTTGTTAATAAATTCAATAAAAAATTATATGAAAAATAGCTAAAATGATTCTCTACAGTAACTTCAGCCAATACAGCCAGAAAAGTAACTCGAACCTTACTTTTTCTGCTTATTACAAACTTCAACGCGCGAAACCAAAAGTTACGTGTTTGGTGAAAAAGTTGACTAATAAGCATGATAAGCCGAAAAAGGGGGTTACCAAACGGGCTCTTAAGAGCCTATTCTCCTAAAAAAGATTACAATAGTGCCTAGGGGAGGCTTTGGGGGGAGTTAGCCCAGGCAACCGCCTTGGACCTCACATGTCAAGGGGCCTCCAAAATCAATGCTATTACTATTAGTATTATGTATAATTACTTAATAATTGGAAACTAGAATAGGAAAATTATCTTCTACGCATCCAACAGGCAACGACGATATTGAGAAACATGAATACTGATATATGAGGAGATTATATATTAAATGTGCACCATATTGACAAGTGCATCATAAACATCATGTGAAGTGCAATAAATTAAATGTCATTATAAATTGGTCCGTGATGAAAAACAATTCAAAAATCAATCAATAATATTCATATGTGAAAAACGTAATGCTAAACGGGAAGAGAAGAATAATACGGAGTAGATCATAAAAATAAAGCCGCAATTTGCAAAAAAAAAAAAAAACAATATGAGTGTTGAAAATAACAACCACGTATATGTTTTAAAGGAACAATATGAATTTAGAACGGTAGTTTTATATTTGAACAGTTTTAGGAGGACATTTATTACAACAAATTTACAATGATATTATCTGGGAATGGTAAAGAAGCAAGTTTCTAAAAAGGGAAGAAAAAGTGTCGATCCTAATAAAGAGGCTGACCAGTTTACATAAACGCCCTGGCCTCCATGTAATTATCCGAGAATTAATATAAAAGGTTGTATCTAACGGTGGATATAATTGTCAATGAATTATCAACTAAGGCGACATATCCCTCCTTTCCTCCTCGCTTTCTTTTCGGACAGTGTTTGTTTCAAAAGCAACTACTATATTATCAACTATCGATTGGCTAAAATCTTGTTAAACACGTTTTGATTGTCCCCTATTAAATAACCCAACAGCCCTTTCATCGATTGGCTAAAATCTTGGGAAAAAAAATTATACACAACATTACAGAGCGTTATTGGCCTTAAATCCCCCATACTTTCTAGTTTCTCTTTTTTTTTTGGATTTAGCACAATATTAGTCATATTTAGTTCTTGCGAAATTTTCCCGGAATTGAGTATCTCCCCAACCACTTCAGGTCTTACAATATCCCAAAATTTTTGGAAAAAGGCCGGATTCATACAATCCATATCTGGAGCATTTTCTGGGTGCATAGCAAATGCTGCTTCTTTGACTTCCTCAGCCGTAATCGGCCTCATCAACCTCCTATTGTGCTCCGGTTACACTATCCCAATCGGCACCAATGTGTCCTCAGTCCTCATGCCCGCCCTCTCCAAAAATAGATTTGAAAAACAATTCTGAACCATATCCTCCAGCACCCTTCGGTCTGTGACCCATCCGCCATCATCTCGCTTCAGCCCAAGCATTTTATTCTTTCGTCGTCGCGTTTTAACATCATTATGGAAAAATCGAGAATTAATGTCACCTTCTTTCAGCCAGAACTCTTTAGCTTGTTGTCTCCAGTATTGATTCTCCTTTTCCAATAAAGCGTGTAACACCAACCGCACTCTGATGAACTCAACAACACTAACAATATCTTCCTTACCTCTCAACCATGTTATTCTTCTTTTGCATGCTTGAATCTGGTGCCGGAAACCTTTAGATCTGCTTCCATCCCACTTTGTCAGTTCTTTTCCACAGTATAGTAATCGATCGCCTACAGATAGTTCCTCTCCCGCTCTCCAACTGTTCGCGACAATGGTTCTGCTTTCCTCCTCACGCAGCCAATTATTCTCAAATTAGTAGGTTGGATTTTAATGAATAACGCCATATGATCACTAACAGGGGCTTCTACTGAAGTAGCTCTTGCTTCCATGAAATTATCCCACCATAGATCATTGACCAAAATTTGGTCTAATTTTTCTTCCACACAATTCGGTGTCCCTTTGCCACGCTCTCATGTCCATTGATATCCTTCAAACGGAAAATCTCTCAACCCACTTGAGTAGACCGCCTCCCGAAATCCCCTCAGCCTCCATGGTGGATGAGGTATTCTCCCCTTTTTCTCCAAATTATAAAGAATGTCATTCATATCTCCCATAACCATCCATGTCATAGTATTGTTTCCGGCCAACCTTTGCAACATATCCCACGCCGCCATGCGCCTTACTGTTTCTGGAAACGCATATAAGCTTGTGAATCTCCATGTCGCACCCTGTCGGGCCTGCATACCTGACAGTCCACAAAATTAGGGTTAGACTCCATTATTGTGACATCATAATCCTCATTCCATCCCAACATCAAGCCTCCTCCCTGTCCGTCCGCATCAGTTCCCTCCGCGTTCGCAAAACCTAGCGAACGTAGAATCTCCTTTGCACGATGGCACTGCAGTTTTGTCTCCATCAGAAAGATAATGGAAGGGCGGTGCTGATGGACCAAATATGTCAAACATTGCATGGTTGCTGGATTGCCTAAACCCCTACAATTCCATGATATAATGCTCATAATTCTTCACTTGGATTCCCCTAACCGACCTACACGTTGAGTTGAAGCCAGTCGCACCCCGTATTTTCGATCCGCCGCACTGTAACAGTCCAATAATAACTGAAAAATAGTACCTCGGTGCCGTGATCACCAGCGATCATCACCGTACAAACAAGTTAGGCGTTACCGGAGATCGGCAACCCTAGAGAGAAACGGTTCTTCTTGGTTTCAAAATTCGCCGCAATTTG